GCTACTTATACAGGACACCTTGGGAAGACCCCAAGAGAACTCGCACCATTTCGCAACTCCGCGGAAGTTTGCAAGTCTTATCAAAGTAAGACCTGTCATTTAACATGAACAAAAGGATCTAGCGAAAATGCCAAGTGCTCCCTCCAAACCGAACAGCGCCGATCCACTACCCGAGTTACTCACCAAAGTTCTGATACAAATTGAGCATGACCCTCGTCGTATTCATTGTAAATTCTTCAACAGCTTTACGACAATCCTCATTATCATACAAAGGCGTGCTATAAACAACATCCAAAAGATCAGTGATAAAACAAAATATATTGCAACATAACAATAAGGATAGTAAGCGTACTGTGGCATTAAAGCAAGCGGAAGCACCGTGTTTTTTAGTGATCTTTCCACAAAAAGAGCAGTAGGTTGAGTTCCCAAAACATTATCATCAAGGGGATATATAACCATCTGAAAAAAAACTGGCCTTTCTAGTTCATAACGAAAAAGAACAAAGCTAAAGGATAAGTAATTGAGCAGGAAAACAAGAAACCTGTAGTATTGAACGTGTCAAAACACAACTGTCATCATAACTGAACCATTTCATGAATTCAATCAAGCTTGTCGAATCCGACAGATTATTCCTGACCTGGGACGCCATAAAATGAATCCTAGAAAAGAATGAACTATTGGAAAGTCGGCCGAAAAAAATCAGTCATTAAGAAATAAGTAAAAGAAGCGCCCCTGAGTGCTACAAAAATGGGAAAGACAGAATTACGTTGCTAAATTACTGAACTCACTTGCATGAGACGCGATGGAGATGTGGTAAGGCCTTTTCTCTAGGAAGAATTTCGATTTTCCTAGGAAAAGTAGATGGCAAGTACTGCCTGTTCAGTTCTGGTTCAAACGCTATCAACCATGAAAAATCACCTTAAAAATACGCCATAATAAGGTACATAGAATCGACAGCTAAGAAAAGCTAGTATCCACCGCTGGAAAACTAGGTACACAGATAAAGCCCAATGACTGGGCTTTATTGTGTACCTAGTTTTCCAGCGGTGGATACTAATGCAAAATGCAGTGACCGAGCTCATGACTACAAGGATAAGGAAGGCTTGATGAGGCGTAGAAAGAGCATGGGAAAGAAAGATAGCATGAAGAACACCACCTAAGAGATAAACGAGAAAATACCGTAGGGCAAAATGAGAAGGGTTGAAGGGAGAAAAAAATACTGGGTCTAGTATGCGAGGTGCTCAGCAATGTTCCAAAAATTGAGAATCTAAGAGAAGAAAAGTAAGCAACGGCAAGAGTCTACACGTCGAGAACGTGCAAGGAGTCCGTCTCAAGCTAGGCAGCGTCGAAAATCATTCACAGCACCGAGAAAAGACTTCGGGCAGCAAAATGTACTTTCCTTTGGGAAAAATTTCCCGGTATAGGTTTTCTCGGTCGTTTCCGCTACATGTGCCCCTAGATGCCGGCGACGCAGAACTAAACTCCAATAACTACTATTTCTGAAAATTAAAACCTGAGTGCTAATGAACTCCCAGCTCGACAGCAATTTTCGGAGAAGAACCGCAAAATGGTTCCGAAAAA